CTTCCCTGGATGGAGTAGACAGGAATCAGATTGATTACATCTGTGGCAAGAGGTGATGGAAAAGCTCAATATCTTGAGCCCAGACGAGGCCAGGAGCTGATTGTGGAACAGATCATCAACTGCTCATATGCAAGTTCAACTTGAAGTTGAAAACAATTAAAAGAAGTTCACAAGAGCCAAAATATGGTCTTGAATATATCCCTCCTGAATTTAGAGACCATCTAAAGAATAGATTTGATGCATTGAACACCAGTGACTGAAAACCAGAAGAATTGTGGGATGACATTAAGAACATCATCCATGAAGAAAGCAAGAAGTCATTAAAAAGACGAGAAGAGAAGAGAAGACCAAAATGGATGTCTGAGGAGACTCTGAAACTTGCTGCTGAGCGAAAAGTAGCTAAAACAAATGGAAGAAATGACAAGATAAAGATCTGAACAGAAGGTTTCAAAGAGCAGCTCGAGCAGACAAAGCCAATTACTATAAAGAAATGTGCAAAGACCTGGAATTAGAAAACCAAAAGGGAAGAATATGCTTGGCATTTCTCAAGCTAGAAGAACTGAGGAAAAATTTAGGCCTTGAGTTGCAATATTGAAAGATTCTGTGAGGAAAATATTGAATGATGCAGGAAGCATCAAAAGAAGGTGGAAGGAATACACAGAGTCACTGTACAACTGGCCAGTGTTCATCCATTTCAGGAGGTGGCATATGATCAAGAACCAATGGTATTGAAGGAAGAAGTCGAAGTTGCACTGAAGGAATTGGCGAACAAAGCTCCAGGAATTGATAGAATACCCATTGAGATGTTTCAACAAATGATGCCCTGCTGGAGGCACTCACTCAGCTATGGCAAGAGATTTGGTAGACAGCTACCTTGCCAGCTGACTGGAAAAGATCCATATTTGTACCCATTCCAAAGAAAGGTGATCCCACAGAATGTGGAAGCTATCGAACAGTATCATTAATATCGCATTCAAGTAAAATCTTACTGAAGATAATTAAAAAATGGTTGCAGCAGCATATTGACAAAGAACTTCCAGAAATGCAAGCTGATTCAGAAGAGGACATGAAATGAGGGTTATCATTGCTGATGTCAGATGGATCTTGGCTCAAAGCAAAGAATACCAGAAAGATATTTACTTAGTTTGATTGACTATGCAAAAGTATTTGATTGTGTGAATCATAACAAATTGTGGATAACATTGAGAAGAATGAGAATTCCAGAACACTTCATGAGGAACCTGAACATAGACCAGGAGGCTCTTGTTTGAAAAGAACAAGGGGACAATGCATGGTTTAAGATCAAGAAGGGAATGTGTCAGGGTTTTATCCTTTCCCCATACTTATTCAATCTATATACTGAGCAGATAATCCAAGAAGCTGGACTATATGAAGAAGAATGTGGCATCAGGATTGGAGGAAGAATCGTTAACAACCTGCTTAGATGCTGATGACGCAACGTTGGTTGCTGAAAGTGAGGATGACTTGAAGCATTTACTGATGAAGATTGAAGAATACAGTCTGCAGTATGGATTACGTCTCAATATATAAGAAAACAAAAATCATCACAACTGGACCTATAAGCAGCATCACGATAAATGGCGAAAAGATTGAAGTTGTCAAAGACTTCAGATTGCTTGGTTCTACAATTGACGCCAATGGAAGCAGCAGTCAGGACATCAGATGACGTATAGCACTGGGCAAATTTGCAGCAAAGGAGCTCTTTCTAGTGCTGAAGAGCAAAGATTTCTCCATGAAGACTAAAAGGTGCACCTGACATCAGCCATGGTATTTTCAGTCACCTCGTATGCATGTGAGAGCTGGACAGTGAATAAGGATGACAGAAACACTGTTGGATGCTTTTGAGTTGTGGTGTTGGTGATGATTGCTGAAACTACCATGGACTGCTAAAAGAGCTAATAGGTCTGTCCTGGGGGAAGTGCAGCCTAAATGCTCTTTGGAAGCAAGAATAGCCAGACTTCATCTTACATACTGGGATTATGTTGTCAGAAGAGACCATTCACTGGAGAAGGATGTCATGCTTGGTAAGGTGGAGGGCCAATGTGGGAGGGGAAGGCCCTGCATGAGATTTATTGACATGGTGGCAGTGGTGATGGGCTCAAGTATAGCAAGGATCATGGAGCTGGCTCAGGACCTGGGAGTGTTTTTGTTCTGCTGTGCGTAGGGTTTCTATGAGTCAGAGACGACTCAATGAATGACACCTAACAACAATACTCTTTCTGGTCTTCAAGCAGCTTCCGTGTGCATAGTCCCACCCAGTCATCTTGTGGGAATTACAAAGACTTGAAGGGCCATGCTAAATAATTCGTGGCACTACAGGCTTTTTTTTTAGTATTTGCTAAATTTCCTTTCTAGTCATTGGCTCTAGATCATCTAATATGTAAGCAAATTCTTTCAGAAAGTATTATTTGGTATGAAAAATACTTGAAATTGAGCAATTAGGATAGTCAACTCCATATAGCACGATATCTCTGTTGTATTATTACAGAGGGATTTGTAAAGTGTTTGGGACCTTCCATTTAAGATTTCTTTTCAAAGTTTAAGTTTACTTTTTTTTTTTTTTAGCACTTTTAGCCCAGGGCCAGAGGGAACAAACAGGCAGTAGCTATAATGTATTTTTTGTATGTTCGCATATTTATTTGTTGGAAGTACACTGAGGGTTTGATAACTTTACTCTTAGACCCGGGAAGGAAAGAGTAAATTTGAAGGTCTTGGTGTGGTAGCCGAGGTAGAATGATTACCAGGGCCTCAGCATGTGTGCTTTTAATTTAACATTTTGTTCACCTGGATAAAACTAGGCATGTTTCACTTTTAAAAACATCTGTTGGCAGTAGTAATTCATTTATTAAAAAACAAATATTGTCTTGGGGAGGGCAATTATGTAAGAAAAAAAGGTCCTTGATTTTTCTTCACAAGCCTGGAGGCATATATAAGCAGGGAATATGTATAAGTAAATGTCTAAAAATAATGTGACAGTCTTGTAAACTAATACAAAAATGGGAGGTGGCAAATAGGTGTGACAGCTCAAAATATGCAGACATATGTGAGTAGATATTTGCTGCTGGTCAACAAGAATCCAAATCTGTAAAGCTTAATGTTTTCTTTTTGTTTCGATAATTTTATTTTTGTTGTCATTGTTGAGAATATACACAGCAAAACATACACCACTTCAACAATTTCAACATGTACAATTTAATGACATTGATTACATTCTTCAAGTTGTACAACCATTTTCACCTTCCTTTTCTGAGTTGTTCCACCCTTATTAATATAAACTCATTGCTCCTTAAATTTCCATCTGATCTTTCAAGTTGAAGTTGTCACTTCGTTCCCAAATAGATAGATAATAAAAGCACAAAGCTCAAGGCAGACATTCTTTATTAATTAAGCTAAAATATTGTTTGATTTAAGGAGGTCTGGTGGTGTAGTGGTTAAAGTATTTAGTGCCAACTGTAAGATGGGCAGTTCAAACACACTAGCTGCTCAGCAGCAGAAAGATGAGGCCATCTGCTTCCATAAAGATATACAACCTTGGAAACCCTATGGGACAGTTCTACTCTGCCCTATAGGGATGCTGTGAGTCAAAATTGACTTGATAGCAGTGGGTTTTATTGTTAAGTTTTAAGAAGACTTCAGGTTTAAGGTTTAAAAATAAGAGGACAATAGTTTCAGGGGGTTCATCCAGCCTTCATGGCTCTAGAAATGCTAGGTTCCATGAGAATTTGAAATCCTCCTCTAACTTTTTCCCCCTTTTTATCAGGATTCTGCTATCGGATCTTTAGTCAAAATGTTCAGTAATGGTAGCTGGGCATCATCCACTTCGTAAAGTCTTGTGGCAAAGGAGGCAGTTGTTCATGGAGGCAAATAGCCACAAATTCCATTTCCTCCTCCTGTTCCTGACTCTCCTTCTTCCTCTCTTGTCCTAGGTCAATAGAGACCAATTGCTGTGCCATTCTTGGCTCCTTGTAAGTTTTTGAGCCCTGAGGCACTATGCAATGAACTAGGAGGTGGAACAGAAGCACTAAACATGATATTAGGCCATTTAACTGGCATGTCCCATGAAACTCTGACCCTAAACCTAACCTCCAAACTAGGGAACCAAATCCCGTAAGGTATTTGGTTGTACATTAGCAGCTTCAGCAGCTACTCTGTTGTTGTTGTAAATATATCTATCACAGAACTTTTGCCAATTCAGTTTTTTATAAGAGTATAATTTATCAGCAGCCATTATATTAATTGGCTGTGAAATCTTACTCTTAATCTTTGTGATTTTTATCATCACAATAAACTGAAACTCAGTACACCATAAACAATAAGTCTCTTTTTCCCCCTCCTTCCCACCTCTGTTGTTGTTGTTGTTGTTATATGCCATCAAGTCGGCCCCGACTAGTTGCTATATTGGCCTGTTCTTGTCATTTTCTGTAAATGAGGTCATATGGTATTTGTCCTTTTATGATTAATTTGTTTCATTCAGCATAATGTCTTCAAGCTCCATCCATATTGTAGCATGTATCAAGACTTAATTTTTCTTATTGGCCAAGTAGTATTCCATTTTATGTATATACCACATTTTGTTTTATCTAGTCACCCATTGATGGGCATTTAGGTTTTTTCTACCTTTGGCTATTCTGAATAGTGCTGCAGTGAACATTGGTATACATGTATCTCTTTTGAGTCTTTTAGGTATATACCTAGAAGTGTAATTGTTGGATTATATGTTAGCTCTTAATTTTTTGAGGATCCACAAAGCTTAATGTTTTAATGGAAGCATTTACCTGAGAGGGAAGTAACTTAATATGTAAAAATTTAAACTTGTGCTAGACCTCCCTGTACCTGTCATTCAGCTTTAGTCATTAATTTGTGACTGATTTTGAGCAACATTCTTTTTAATCTTGGTAATAATTTTTAGGCTTTGTGTAAGTGCAAAATAAATCTAGATGTGTTCTAAACCACTTAATGGAAACACTTCTTTTCTGCAGTGTTTCCTGAGGTTATAGGCGGGTGTTTGAGGAGTACATGCGGGTTATTAGCCAGCGGTACCCAGACATCCGCATTGAAGGAGAGAATTACCTTCCTCAACCAATATATAGGTAAGTAAATTTCATTAACTTAAAAAGAAATAATTGGAGTTTATAAATTGTGAAGTGGTTGAATTAACTTTCCTTGGTTGGAATAATTTCTTTGTTGGTTATAGTAATATACAGAGAATACTGCCTTGAAAATAAGTTTGTTTTACCAATATAGATGACTTCTTGTGTAAGAAAGGAAAGAGGGGGAGAGTCATTTCACAGATGCCAGTCTTTTCTAAAGACTATTTTCTTATGTACTTTTTATTATAGAAAGAGACCAAGCACTCACAGATCTCTATAGAAAGTCAATGCTATTAAATATAAAACTTTATGAAAAGAATAGGATTTTAAAAGGTTAGCCCTAATTAATTTTGTGGATTAATTATTTTATTGGTTTAAAAGATACTAAACATTGTAGTTAGCAACTTCTAGATTTGGTATCCAGAAAATGTCTATACACATATGAGAATTACTATAATCTTGAAGTAGGTGAGAAATTGTGACTTCTAATGATTTTTCTTTTTTTTTCTGATAGGCACATAGCATCTTTCCTGTCAGTCTTCAAACTAGTATTAATAGGCTTAATAATTGTTGGCAAGGATCCTTTTGCTTTCTTTGGCATGCAAGCTCCTAGCATCTGGCAATGGGGCCAAGAAAATAAGGTATGTAACTTACTAACTTTGATAGCTAGAGATTTTTAGGTTGTTAGTGAAAATGTTTTAATGTATTTGTCTCTTGAATAACTTTACTGAGTCACCTGTTCACATACATTACTTTAGCTTAACCTGTTTTTTCTCCCTGAGCAAGTTGCTTACCCTCCCTGGGTCTTATTTTCCATAATTATGTATTTAAAATGGTTTTATCTTTTTATTATTTTTGGATGGAGAGAGGTAAAGAAGTGATACTTCCAGTAATCTGAGCACAAAATAATGTATTGCCAGATTTTGATTATATAATTTATATTCAAATCCTATCCAGCAAAATAGATAGATAGATAGATAGATAGTATGGGCCTTTTAAACCAACTAAATGGATATTAGTGAGTTTATTCATATTTTAAAAGAAAATTGCTACTAATTTATTCTTGCCCAAACTTTTCTCTTTTGAAAATTATGCCATGGAGATCTGTTTGCTGGATTGCTTGAGAGAATCAATATAAATATATTTAAGAATTGTGTGTTATTTTGTTTTTTATTTGTAGGTTTTTGCTGCAGTATGTATTCTTTCTAGCTTTCTTTTATGTTCATCTGTCTTACTTAAAACGGTCTTTTCTGAAGGGTCTTCCAGCTATCTGAATTGGCTCTAATTTTTATTTCTCTTTGGGACAAGATTGCTTAGATTTCCTTTTCTGAGTATCTCCTTTTGGGGTCTTCTAGCTATCTGGTCTTGCCTTTTGGTTCTAGGCTGAGACTACCTTTAGCAGAATCATCCTACATAGCTTTTCTTTTTTCTTAGGGTGCCATTTATTTCTAATAATAAGCAAAGTTTCTTAACATAAACCTCTTCAGATGCTACCTCTAATTGAAGTGTGTCACTATCCTGTTAATTAACAAAAAGTTGATTTATCAAAGATTGAGAATTAGAGAGCTAGAATACTGATTGATACTGTTGTATGCTACATTTATGAATTCTATTGGTTCCAAATTATCTTTAATGCATTTTCCTTCTATAGACATATGACCATTGTTGATCTCACATATAATGGGAACGTGCTTTGAAAGCTTTAGCTTTTACGATAGTTCTCTGTGTTTGACAAATCGCCCTAAAGAATCATTATAAGTATACTTAAGAATCTTGTACATTTATGTTCTGAAATGCTAGGATAACCACTAAGAAATCAAAGCCCACCTAGCTCAGGTAGGGCAGGGAGAAAGTCCTCATCTTCTGTGGGCATTTTGGTTTATTTTTTGAAACAGTTTCCTATGGCTTGGCATCCTCACTATATCCTACTTTAGTCTGGTGATTTTGTTAAACTAAACTTTTCTGTCCAACAAGGCCATGGAATAAAGATGAAACAGCTTGCTTCATAAAGATTTATAGCCTTGGAAACCCAATGAGGGTCGCTATGAGTTGGAATCAACTCGAAGGCAGTGAGTTTGGTTTTTCGTTTGGTCCAAAAAGGTGCTTCTAGTTTCTTTTGGGAGGGTATAGGTTTGCTTTCAAAAGGTGAATGAATAGACCTTAATTTGCAACTGCTTTCTGTCCTACTTCTTTTCTTAATTTGACTTAAATTGCTTGGAACATGGTTGTATTGAATATTAAAATTAACTTAGCAATGAGATGTCTACATAGAGTTGCTTATTATTGCATCACTAATCTCTTGTGAATTCATACAATATATTATGAAAATGGTAAAGTCAGTCTTTCTGAAGTAGATTTTAAAAGAGCTTTTTGTTAAATAAATATGAGGCTATATATTAAAAAGATTACTGTACCTTAAATTGTATTGTTTTGACTTCAATATGACTTTGCCTGTTGTGCTAAATTACATTCTCTCTTAGGTCTATGCATGTATGATGGTTTTCTTCTTGAGCAACATGATTGAGAACCAGTGTATGTCAACAGGTGCATTTGAGATAACCTTAAATGGTGGGTTCTGGAATAGTTTGCATTTTGTGATACATTCTAAATGATGTATAATTAGCATCAGGCTTTTCTTTTTTTTCATAATAGAAATTTTTTTAATGTTTAGTAAAAGAGAAGTATATTTGAAATAAATTTGCAATTTCAGGAGATAAAAGATTTCAGAAAATTTCAGTTTATTCCCTTGTTTTTACCTGTACTTGAACTTTACATTTTGGAATTCTTTGTGGAGAGTTGATCTTCATATGCTAAATTATATGTAATCCTCATCTATCCTCTGACTTTATAATGATATCTCTATGATGATGATGATTCCTGAATGTATAGCTCTAGTCTACACTGGGCCTGTCTTCTGTGTGCTGTATCCAGGAATCTTAATCATAACCCTTCCCCAGAATAAACTCTTGGTCACCTCTGCTTCCTGCAGTTCCTGTTCACTCCAGTTTGTTCCTCCATCGGCATTTGATAGATAGTGACACCATCACCTGTCTACTCAATTGCCCGTGTCAAAAACCTAGGTAGCATTACTATCTCCATTACTCCCTATCTCTAATGAATTGCTGAATCTACTCATCTTTATTGCCACCACCCTAGTCCAAGCCACAATTACCTTGCTCCTCTGCAATACATTCTCTAAACTGGGAGTTCAGAAATAAGGCTCACGAGCTGAGCACTGTTTTTATGTTTTTTAATGGTTGAAAAAAAATGTTTAAGTGTTTTGTGATACATGAATATTACATAAATTTCAAATTTCACTGTATCTGTTTTCAATTTCATGAGTGGAAAATCTGGAAATAATGTTTTTTCTCTGGTTATATTAGTACCTATATTATGTCCTTGATTTTAGCTCTTAGTTCATAAAGCCTGAAGTATTTACTGTCTGGCCTTTTACAGGAAAATTTACCCACCCTTGTTCTGAACAGTGCAGTGATTTTTTTTTTTTTAATCACAGATTACATCTTGTTACTTGCCTGCCTGAATTTCATAAAATATCTTTGTTTTCAAGATAAAGATCAAAACATTTAATGTGGCCAAAAGGCCCTGAATGATCTAGTCTGCAGCTTGACAAACTATGGCCTATGGGCCAAATCCTTAGCTTCCTGATTTGAAAACATAGTTTTAAAGGAACAAAGCCATGGCCATTTGTTTATATATGCCTGTCTCTGCTTGCAGGCTATAACAGAGTTGAATAGTGGGGACAGAAACTGTATATCTTCAAAACCAAGAATCCTTACTATTTTGGTCCTTTATGGTTTGTCAACCCCTGATCTAGTCCTTGCCCACCTCTCCAACTTCCCTTCTTTTCTGTGTTTTAGCTATGCTGACTTTCTCTTTTAATGTGACAAGCTTTATATGAGCCTTTATTACAGGCATTCACTGGGTTATGAACATCTGACTTACGGACAAACTTCTACTTAAGCAGGGATTTGAACCTATTTGAATCAGTTTTGTCTTCAAAAAACTGACTAGAAGCGAAACAGAAATGGGCTGGAATTTTTACAATTTGTGTGATTCATTACGATATGCAGGAAAAGTTATATGTTGAAGTCCTAGAATGGGAGACTCAGAAGAGACATAATGAGACTGTTTAGGAGCCTGTTGCATGAGGTTGGATTGTTGACAGAACTCTAGAGAGCTGCACATATTCAAAGAGGTTCAGTCGGCTTTCATTGTTGAGCAGGGCACTGCCATCCTTGAACAGGGTGTTGCTGTTAAGTTTCTGCTTACCAGTTGGAACCTCTGCTTTAATATTATGTAAATTTGTCCTTACTTTAAAACAATTGAACCAGCCCCTACTTGTAACAGATTCTTTATCACAGTTACCTTCATTTGCTGCATGGAGAACATTGAAATGTCTTTGAACCTTTTCTTGCTCTAACATGAGGCTAAATAAGAACCATATGCACCTGTTCTGACTGACCTGCAAATTCTGCTTAAGTGCACACTTTGGAGTGGACCTCTTTCTTAACCTGGGTATTCCCTGTATTCCTTCTCTCTAAAAAGTTTTCTGGCTTTTCTCTTTTCAGGAACCCTATACCATTTTGGTAACTTTCCTTTATCTTTTAGCTCTCAATTTAAACGGCATTACTTCTCTGACCAGTCAGTGTCAGAGGCTTGTGTATGTGCTTGCATAGCACCTTAGTGTTTTTTAGTTTTAAGTCTTACTACTTAGCATAATTTTAATTTTGTAGCTATACGTGTAGTTCTTTTTCTATTTCCTATACTAGAATGTAAACTCCATAAAAGCAAGAAAAGTGTTATCTTTTACTCACTTTTGTGTACTTAGCTGTATACATAGACAGTCAATAAATATTTATGGAATGAATATATGTTATAGAATCTTATCTGTGTGTATGTGTGTGTGTGTGGTGGATGGTGCCACTTATTTTTATAGATGTGCCTGTTTGGTCTAAGCTGGAATCTGGTCACCTTCCATCCATGCAACAGCTTGTTCAAATTCTTGACAATGAAATGAAGCTCAATGTGCATATGGATTCAATCCCACATCATCGATCATAGCCCCACTATCAGCACTGGAAACTCTTTTGTAAGTAATTTGAAAATACAGTTATTATGTATGGGTTTCATTTCATTCTCATCACGAATCCACAAGTTACTAGAAATTCTGTGACTTTCCAGCTTAATATTTAACAGATGGGTGTTTTCTTCATTAAAATGTATTAGCAAGTCTAGAACGTTTGGAGCTGCCAAAATAAAAGGAATATTGTCTATTTATAATTTTATCTTCAAGACTTAATAATTGGGCTTTTAACACCTTTTTTTTTTTACCCCCATGGACTATGAACTTGTTATGGGCGAAGTTGATATATTATGTTAGGGTGTGTATATACATACATTCTGTCTTCACTTTGGAATAATTATTTCCTGAGAGTATGCAAATTCTTTATGCAAATTCAAGATAAAATGTGTATGAATATGGAGAGGTGTTAACTATTGCTTAATAGTGATGTTTACAGCTCTTTTTTGAATAATGAATTACTTTCTGAAAGAGTTTAGAAGAGTGATTTTGAAACTAAAATACTCCTTTTCTATGTATCTTTCAGACATTAAGGAATTTTGCAAGGGCAGCGTGACTGACATTATGAAGGCCTGTACTGAAGACAGCAAGCTGTTAGTACAGACCAGATGCTTCCTTGGCAGGCTCGTTGTACCTCTTGGAAAACCTCAGTGCAAGATAGTTTTTCAGTGCTGGCACATTTTGGAATTCTGCACATTCGTGGAGTGCAATAATACTGTATAGAGTGATTTTTTTTTTTTTTTTTTTTAATTCAGCCAGTTACTAGTTTAAAAAGTAAACATTACTACTTGTACCTTTTTTTTTTAAGTCATATTTGAAAAAGTAGGAAATTGAGTTACTATTTGATTTTTTTCAAAGATGTCTGTTAAATCTGTTGTGATTTTATATGAATTTTTCTTTTTTTATAGTTTAAAATTGATCTTTTTTGTGGATACAGCTGTAGTTCCCAAATACTTTATAAGAGTTTCTCAGACATCTCTAATTTGGTTATGTCCAATTTATATAGATTTCAAAATACTACAGATTGTGAACAGTGCATTATATAAGATTATGAGGGAAAATCCTATATCCAGAGTACTCTACCAATTTGTGTGTATGTGTGTATGTGTGATTACCAGAGAACTACTAAAAGACCAACTGCTTTTTAAATCCTATTGTGTAGTTCAAGTGTCTTGCCTTGACCAATCTATGAGTTGATTAACTGGGCCTTTATACGTAACTAAATAAAAAACTAAGCAGATATACATTAAATAAAAAGTTTCAATTTATTGTGCAATGTGTATGTGTTAACATTATATTTAATTGGCTGCCTGTATTTTTGCTTTTGATTTAACAGATGACTGGATAAGAGATACACTTTAAATTCATACACAAATATTTACCATTTTTACATTAATTAAAACTTAGCATAGTGGCTAAGACACTTGCCTGCTAACCAGACGGCTGGCGGTTCAAACCCACCAGCCACTCCTCGGAAGGAAGGTTGGGCAATCCTACTTCCGTAGTGATACTGCCTCGGAAACCCAAGGAGGGGTCGCTATGAGTCGGGGCCGACTCGACAGCACATAACAACAACAACAACAACAAGGGAAGTTTACTCCTCGAAAGGAAGGTTGGGCAATCCTACTTCCGTAGTGATACTGCCTCGGAAACCCAAGGAGGGGTCGCTATGAGTCTGGGCCAACTCGGCATGTAACACCAACAACAATAACAAGGGAAGTTTAGTTGGAACTTTTACAACTTCAGTATTTGGTGAATGGAGAGCACTTGTGTAATAATTTAACTTGTCTAACATACCAGAATTTTATTGTATTTTAGGAACTGCCTTGAAATTTTTTTATTCAGTAATTATAATATTTTTTTCAGCCTTTAAAAGGCAGTTTTTAAAAATTTAAACTAATAAAGACTCTAAAAATCATTCAGCAGAAATAGGACCATAACGTAGAAAAATAGAATTAGTCATAGTAGTAGCAATTATAACATACTTCAACTTCCACATAGATGAATAGAAGTGGTAGAGCTAAAAGTAAGTCTAGGTTTGTTAGTGACAGTGAAGTGGGATGAGAAAAAAGGAGTAATTCAACATTCATTTAATCTGACATATAGAGTCCTTACACTTTGCTTGTCACTGAGCATTTGTTGAATGAATGTCAGGTAGTGATGCTGATTGTGACACTCTCAAGGTGATCAAGCTAGTTAACTTCTAGCTGACAAAAAGTTAGTCTCATACTTCACTGTAGAAAACTGATTAAGTAGAGTCTCCTTTTAATTAAGACTGCATAATTTTTAACCTCAGGCCTTTATTTACTAGCAGGAGTCAATATAGTTAAAGCTGAAAGTTTCTCAGAGATTTTTACCCAACATCATAATATTTTATTATCTTTGATGAAGGCTTAAAATCTGAATATATACGAGCCCAAACTCTTCAGGTTGGATACAGTGCTGTTTGTGTCCTTAGCTGATAGCATAGTTAATTTTGGGCATTTAGAAGTTCAGAACTGGGACCTTGGCTATTTCCACGTACAAAGCCACCATAATGGGTCAACTATGAAGAACCTTAGATTGAATTCTAACTTTCTCCATGTTCACTTTTAAATAACTTATTTTTTTATAGAGACTAGTTTTAAGGTGCTGAGACACTGTTACTTTGTTGACACTTATCTCAATGTTGTTTTATGCTTGGCTGTATTATAGAATCTAGTGAAAAAATGTGTGTAATTCAACATTCATTCCACTTGACACTTAGCACAGAGTCCTTATACTTTGTAAGCATGCATAGAAAAAGGCAGGATAATATAAGGAAGCATAAAGAAAGATAAAAGTAAGAAAAGTCAATACTTAGAATATAGTTTTATTATATTCCTAACAGTTCAAAACTTACTGTTTGTAAATTGGTATGACTGTCTACTTGATAAATATTTATATACTATATTGGAAGATCATACAGTATGATATCAAGTGGGTTAATGTTGGCGTTTTTACATTTTGCCATTATAGCTAAAAAATTATTAGACTAATAAAAAAAGGTGGCAAAATAGGGCTTTATACCTCATTATGAAAGATAGGCAAGACAATGCTTTCAGAATATAAACGATTTTTTTTCTATTTTTTTTTTTATAACAGTAACACATCTTTATGACAGCACTTAATCTGCCTTTACAACTGTCAGAGTATAACAGGACCTCGATGTTAAGTAGTTTGGGACCTTGGCTGTCTGGCAAACTTTTATCATTTCATGATTTATTAAGATCTTAAAGCTAATCCATGGAATTTTTTAAAATATGTTTGATACCTAATGCTTTATAGAAAATCTCGATCTCTTGAGGGAAATAAGAGGAATTTTAAAGTTTGGGAATTTGTACTGTGACAATAAACTATTATTAAGCTAAGGTGAAAGGAATCCCTGCATTGTGGAATTAGACTTAATGTTAGCATGCTTTATGTGGTAACTATTCAGAGAAGTTTTGCAGGATTTAAAAAAACAAAACAAAACCCCGAGCCAAACCCACTGCCATTGAGTCCATTCCAACTGATTGCAACCCTATTGTACAGAGGAGAACTGCCTCAAGGTTTCAAGTGTAAATCTTTACAGAAGTAGACTGCCTTGTCTTTTTCCCACAGAGTGGCTGGTGGGTTCTAACCTCTGACCTTTCCTCTGACCTTTGGTTAGCAATTCAACTCTTGACCCACTGTACCACCAGTGCTCCTTTTTGCAGGATAGGCATTGTAAAAGTTCTCATCAAATACTATGTTTACCAATCCTAATGGCTTTTTAACAACAACCAATGCCAACCCTTCAGTCTGATGCTCTTGGATCTTAAAATACTCCTCAGGCCTTACTGTCTGTGTACACTTTAGTGTCAGTTCTGTGACAATTCGTGCTTTCTGGAGTGGAACAGAGAAAGAGGAGCAGCTAATATCACTGTGTAACTTTACTCCCAACCTTCAGAAATCCTGAGAAACTCTCTAACATCCCAAAACCTGAAGAGAGAGAAAACAAGTGTTTTCCTCCTGTTGACTGCTATAGACCATTTAATGAAATCTCAGAAGAGAGAGCAGTGTTGAGATAATTTTATATTTTGGCTGAGCCTTTCCCTTCATGATCTTTGTCTTTTCCCTAGGTTCAGAAAAAGCAAGTAGAGAGAAATAGACCAAGCTCAAATTGAGGAATTAATTGTGTTAATCTGTTTTATCAGTGAAACATATTTGTTATCCTTTCTTAATGTTATATTGTGTTTAATATTGGCCTCTAGCTTCAATTGAGGTTATCAGAACTCTTTCCATTTGTGTTGGGCTCATTTTCTGCATGAGCCTCCAACGTATTGGGGAGAAGTGGGAGGGGTGAAGAAGGAAGGAGTGCATGATCGTAGATTGCTCAGGCTTCCATCATCCCAGATTAACAACCATGGAAGAAGAGAGTCCTTTTCTCCCCCAGTATCCATATATAAAGTTTAGAATTATGGTTCGCTTTCCTGAGTGAGTGTTCATTGGTTACACACCTGAACTTCATGGAGTAGGAAAAGGGAGTGTCTATCAGAAGCAATACTAGGTAGATGGACAATAAAACAGTTACCAATTGAGCTGATTCCAATTTATGGCAACTCGTGTGTGCAGAGTAGAACTGCATGCCATTGGGCTTTCAAGGCTGTTACCTTTATGGAAGTGGACAGTTCTCTCTTTGTGGCTCTTCTCGGTAGGTGTGAATAACAACTTTTTGGTTAGTAGTTGTGGTTAAGTTTGTGTGTCAACTTGGCTGGGCCTGGTTGAGTGGCTGGGCAGCTAGATGTAGTATTACCCATGATGAGACTGGTAATCATCTCAGTGGTGGAATCTACTGTGAGCAGCTGAGTGGCTGCCTTAGGGAGGTGATCTCCTTCCTGTATATAAGGAGAAGCCTTGGGGAACGGTCGCTAGCTTATGGCACGCTTAAACCCTGCATGTAGCCAAATCATCGTTCAGCAGCCTGCCATGCTGTGCCAAC